ACTTATGTCATGCTATTAGGAGTTGTGCTACGATGGAGATGTTTGTCGTAGAAAAGGCAACAAAAATTGACTGAACTTAGCCGATTTGAGACGAGTCTACAGAAGCAAAAGGTCGGGTACATATATGTAGAATATATGGACACATTTGCAATCCGCTGTCTTGTTACGCTTTCCAAAATCAAACTCTAAACTCCTGCAGTTGAGAAATTAGCAAGTTTACCTATAAACTGTCCTACACCTCTGTTTTAGGCATTTTTGAATCTGTTCTCATCAAATTCTTCGATATACTATCACATACATCCAGATTAGAGTTTCGCACATAGGTGAAAAAAAGCTTTATCTCTCTTACAAAGCAAGTCCGACATAGACGGTATTGTTCATGGCTGTTCTCCTCTTTCTTCGGGCTCGTGACCTAATTAAGGTTAGAATCATCAGAGGGCACGTTCGAGGGAGAGATTGCGTCGCGAACGCGACGCTGGCCTTTCAGCAGCCATTCTCGTTGAATCAAAGGGCACTCTCAGATACTCTCAGATATATCGGAGCCGCAAGTCAAACGTGTATCAACCAAGTGCTAATTCTTTTGGATGCTGCCTGTCGGTCAAATTGGAAACAAGCGAGTACATTACGCCGTCAATTCAAAACTTGTAACGTAAGAAAGTGAAAATGTAATGCGGAGGAGAAGCATGCTGAGGCTGATAAACTTTCAAACGTCTTAGATTTCGCAAAATATAGAATTCACTCGTCGTGTTGTTGAAACATAGGGTTATGCCTATGAATGAATGAAATGAAATGAAAAGTCACACAAACCAAATATGTAATAGGTTTCGCATTTTTCGAACGCTGGTCAAATTCGAAACTTTAGGGAGTGGAAAACCAGAAATACGGCCGTTCTCAGTTTGAATCAAACACGTCAAGTCAAAAATCTACTCAGACTGTTGATAGGGAGATCTCTAATAATCTAAACAGTTTCAGCTTGATGCGTATGTTTCACTGCAAACGGCTTTGTTGTTGGTTTTCCAATCCTCGGAACTTTGAATTTGATCAGCTTTCGAAAAAATGCGTAAATTTTCTCCACTTCGAAATCAAAAACCAAACTCTTTGGGCGCATTTGTAGCCTACTACATATTCTACATTATGCACAAAAATGAATGCGTCACAGTCAAAAAGAGAAAACGAAGTTAGTTGCAAGACTTGTGTGCCAACCTAATATTCCAAATGTTTCATGACCACCACCGCGTACTGAGCGTTGCATACATCTTGCGTAAAAGCCCCTACAAGATTATCCATATTATTCTGCCTATCTTTGTCAATTCTACCTAATCCACAAACGGTTTTCAAGTGTGTCCTGCTCTTGAGACTGTGAGAACTATCTAGTTAAATTTCCACAAACTTTCCCTCACTGAACATTTTTTGAATTTGATTGATCCCGCTTCGTCAATTCAGAACCGTTGTGCCCTCTTTTGTCTGTTTGAACTGCATTTCAATATTTTTTTTACTCTATCGAACTTTGTACTTGCACATGAGCTGTTTTCAGTCCTGATGCTTTGAAGCGAAAGCATAGCATTTGTTTTCAAAATTCCCCCTCGGCTTACTAAGTTGCTTATCGTGAATACATATCATTCATTCTCTTACTAAGAGAAGCGAGCACGTCTTGGGGTACATTTCACTAACCCATTGACGACGATGTGGAACACGGTGGCCTTTTTTCCGCCAAGGAAGTCATGGATTACCGGTGGCTCACACCTCTTGCAGTTATATTGTTTGTAGGTAGGTCTAGTTTTTTCCATCATATTGATATTTTTCCATTTTTTTCACTCTGGGACCTGTAGGCTTCGTCGTACAAGAAAATGTTTATAATTGTTTACAAAGCAACCTTGCATCTCTTAATCACAAAACCTGCTCACGCCAAACTGTTGTGCAAAATCGCGTCGTCTCACAGCGTCGCCACACAAATTAGGCGTCGTTTCGACTGATTTACTGTTAGAATTCATGGAAGAACGAGTTTGTGCTTGTTAATTCACGCTGCCTTGAACACGTTCTTTCACGAATTTCTGATAATAATTAGCCAAAACGCGTGTTACAACTCATTCATAAACTTGTTGATCAAAAGTAGCAAAGCGTGCTCGCCGCTCTCAATCAGAGAATGAATGATATTTCCCATGCCGTCTGACGCTGTCATGTCCGCTGTAGTGGTTTCACTGTTTAGCGTGCCCATATAGTGCTTCCTGGTTTTGAATGATGAAGTCGTCAGTACCACATTTCTTCTTCCGTGTTGTATTCAAAAGTTGTTGGTACAATCTAGATATTAACGTATTAAGGCATAATCAATTTCTCGTTTTTGGAGGCCAAGAACAGGAAACACGATGGGATCTTCTACGCTTATAATAAGTGAAAATAGATGGAGGATACCTGCCTATCTCGCCTCTAGAACGCAAAATCCGTAACATCTTGCTTTGTTTTACAGACTTTTGCGTTTCAAACGCCATGAACTCCGTTTTAACCGGGCAAACTTGAATCCGAGAAAAATTTTTTATCCAGCTCGGTGCATCCTCTGCGCACGTGAAGCGCGTCTTAAACCAGGGCCCGGCACGGATATGGGCGGAACCCCGAAAAAAATTAATTATTGCTTGACCAAGCTTCAAGGGCAGGTTATCACACGATTAGCATGCTCCTTCGTTTCTTGCGAAGCGCGCGCGATCTAAAAGCAGCGCTAAATAAACAGACTTCTTATTTAGAGAGCAGACGCAATCAGATACCAAAATTGGACTGTTTACATAAAAAATATTCGCGGTAGAATTATGTAAAAACTTTTGAAATATGTAAAGTAATACCCTTTTCCAGAACCAGTCCGCTTCCAGACGGTCACCATATGTTCTGAGATCTTACGGAGCGAAATTTCTGTTACTTCATGTAAGTCTCGGATTTTTCACCATGAACGGATGCCCCGATCAAGGATATATCTCTAAGCATAAGGGCATTTTCATAGAGTTGCCTTTTCAGTGCTTTTGCCTTACTTTCTTTAAATCGCTTTGTTGGTTATCCGCTTCAATGCCAAACTCATGTGCGTCCGTAGTATTCAACTTCAATTTGATTTTCACTCTTATTTTTTTCCTCACAGACTGACTCTTTCCCATTTTCATCTTCGCTCAAATCAACAGGTTTCTTACAAGTGTCAAAGGGGACTTTGTGAATTTTTCCAAAGTCAGCGGGGACTTCATTTTCAAAAACTTCTGAAAACCGACTCTGCCGGGCCCTGGTCCTGACGTGGCAATCATATTGCTACGTGCGTATAGTGCATTTCTCAGAATTGTTCCTATATGAACCGTCAAAGTTCTGCTGATCATTCTAGCATGTCAGCTGTCAGCGCCTTAAATCGCTGAAGTTAACGTGTTAAAAGATCGAAGGGCAGTCTCGTTGACATGGGAACAATTCTGGGGGATGCACGATATGTACCCCTCCACAGATCGTGCTACCCTTGTGGCGTCGCTGACGTGCCACGTGTGACTAACACATTGGCAACGTTGGCAGCAACACGTTGGCAACATGAAGCAAAATGTTGGCGTGGCCAAAATGTTTTGCCAACATGTTGGGGCAGTTGCAGACATGTTGTTGCCACGTTGCCAACATGTTAGCCACACGTGGCAGGTCTGAGACGCAGACTAAGGGTAGCACGATCTGTGGAGGGGACTCTACTGTTATTTGTGCACGCCAAGTTCAGTGCGTTAGAGGAAAATGCTGGGTACGCGGACTGAGTTTGGAGCACTGCTATCCTTCGATTTCAGTTATCTTTGAAATCATCCTTTCGCGGTGCACGGTTTGTATAGTGACTTGATGGGGACGTTTAGTAAGCTGCCGACTCTCAGTCTTTCAGATCAGGCTAGTCGATGAATTGAAGAGCACACACTTGTTGTCCGAAGATCAAACGTATCTTGCCTCTCCCTTCGACCTGTCTTAAAGGCAGTGTGTCACCAGAATTTCGTTGTCGAGATTTTCGTATATTACAAGCCTATAGGACCCTATATAACACCTTAGGGGTTGAAACCGCACGATTTTCCAAAAAACCCCATTTTCTGGAGGCCCCGAGCAAGCACCGTGGACGAGCTGTACCCCCTGCGCTCCTCCACGGCAGGGCAGAGACGCAGAGTGGAGAGGTAGTCGTTTGAAACGTCGTCATGAAGACACTTTCGCAATTCGGTTCCACACAAGTTCTATTTCAATCTCCCACATTGTTCAATAAATGAGTCTTTTTGTGTGATGACAATACCCCATTTTTTCTTCATATGGTTATAACCAAGCTCTTCGTTTACTATGTTGTCACCTGAATATATTTCCAGTATATGAATGCCACTTGCTGTCTACTTTGCGTGACGAGTTTTCTGTTTTTTTCGGCTTGCATCATTACGCAGGCAAAAATGACAGCTATTTATCTTTCTGGCTAGTCTTCTTAGTGAGTGAGAGGTAATTTCACCTAAAAGTGAATCACGCCATATTTCCGCATAGTAAGGTAGAGATGTCATCTTTATTGCCTTACCTTATGAATGCTGACCGTTACTTTCTCGCGTCCTTTTCAAATAATTGACAGTTTTTTGGTAGTCAAATATAGGTGTTTTTTCTGAATTTCTGTATGTGATCATATTGTCGCTATACTTGGCTATTGAAGGTGTGGATCACTGTCTTACCGAAGCTAGATCGGCAAGAACATTATGATCAAGGTCCTTACGCCGTCATTTTTGCTCGAACTAGAGGGTTGACCAGCAGCTTAGTATGCTCGACCATGAAATGGAGCCACTCCCATTATCCTTGGCCACTTTTAGATTGAAGAAGAAACGAACAAGTTTGGAGAATTGTCGAAGATTCGAACTGTTTCTGTTATCGGAGGTGCTTCACGTGAAGACCGGGGAATGAAACTGCGCATGGGCGTCGAGGTACAGTTATAGTTTTGAGCGTTATCACGTACTTCGAGTATTGGCTTTTCATGTGGTGATTGCTACAACTGGACGTCTTCTCGACGTTCTGGAAAATAGATATCTTTTGCAAAACCAATGCTCATACGTAATTTTTGATGAGGCGGACCGAATGCTTGATATAGGTTTTGAACCCGAAATGCAAAAGGTCTGTAGAGTTGCTGTCATTAGATTTCTCTATTCTTTATTCAATGCAAAGTACTGGTAATTTTCAGGTCTTGGGATATTTGCCTGTATCTAATCAAAAGCCTGACACCGATGACATAGAGCATGAAGAAGCTCTGATGAATAACTTTGCGACAAGGGAGAAATATCGCCAGGTTATCCTATCTTCCTCGTTATCTTGTTTCTGAAATTTGCAATGTCAGTGATAATAGACATTCCTTGTGGAAGCTCCACTTTGAGCAAAAACATGTATCAGTTTTGTTTTTCAGCCACTAAAAGTTTAGTGAGGCAACGGTGTGTGGTCTTGAATTAGATAGCCCTACCCAGCAATTAGGAAGAATTCTTTGACCATGAAAAAAATTTCTTCTCACTTCAAGCGCTGCTGTCAGCACCCCTTCTATAGAAAAAATTTGAAACCAAGAAATAATTTTAGACTGTCATGTTCACTGCCACGATGTCACCTGCTATCGAGCGATTGGCTCGTGCTTATTTACGGCGTCCTGCAGTGGTTCACATCGGATCCGCTGGACGACCAACTGAAAGAGTGGAACAGGTAAGATTTGATTATCTTCATTGTCAATTTTTGTTATGCGAGTTTTGCAGATATCTGCGATAGATTAGCTGGGTACTGTATCTCTGTTTTAGATCGTTTACATGATAACAGAGGACAAAAAGAAGAAGAAGCTGGTTGAAGTGTTGGAATAACACTTCGAGCCTCCAATTATTATTTTTGTCAATCAGAAGAAGGTAAATAGCAATCTTGTTATAAATTATGTGATCTCTCAATGCCTGCATTTGTAGGGTGCTGACCTGCTCGCAAAGGGCTTGAGCAAATTGAATTTCAACCCTGTCGTACTTCATGGTGGCAAAGGTCAAGAAACGAGAGAGTACGCTCTGCAAGCCCTCAAAGACAAGACAAAGGACATTCTTGTTGCAACAGATGTTGCTGGCAGAGGTACCCTTCTTATGGCTTGATTCGCGCTGATAAGCCCACATCAGATGTCTAATCGTGGCATTTTTTTGTTAAACTAACTATATGATAGGATGGCATTATGCAGTACAGCTCTAGAAAGACTTTTTTAGCTGACTTGCACAGTCGAACGTAGGGTTAGAAAATTTATGCAGTCGCAGTCTCACAACTTTGTTTATTGTAAGGGTGTATCACACATAAGTGAGTCACATTATATATATTATTACTGCTGTTTTTCTTACCTCTTGGTGTACTACTGTGCCATTATAAACGAGAGAAATTCTTCTTATGTGGATCTCATGAGTATACTGCTTTAATTGCTGTTTCCTCTGCAACTCTTCATATCACAGCAGTAAGCGTTAGTCATGGTGCATATATCAGCAAAATGTGCCAACATGAAATTTTCGGAGATTTTTTTTGAATGAGGGATTTGTCTGTAATTATCGCTAGCTATCCGGTAATTTGAAAGAGAAAACCCTCTTTACCATGACCGCTTAGTCTCATCATCGAGATCGTAACATGATTTCACACTCCTGGTCGATTACATGTTCTATGTGCTGTTAGCCCCCCCCCCCCCTTTTTCCAAAGTTGTAGTTGACATGTTGGCTATATCTGAGTGATGCAAACTATTCTCTCTAGAAACCCTCGATCATCAACCATCAGCCATTAGCGAGAAGATTTATTGCTTACTTTTTGTTTTCAGGTATCGACATCAAAGATGTTTCGCTCGTGCTGAACTACGATATGGCTAAATCAATAGAAGACTATACTCATCGAATTGGCCGAACAGGTATTTTTTTGCTTTGTTTTAGCCGTCTCATCCTCACTGTTGTCAATCCAGAAACTTCCTCGTTATCTTTTACAATTTGCTCTTATGATTGCGAAACTGACTTTATCATCATAGTTTACTTCCGCCTTTATCTTATCATCCCTGATTTTCCTTACTGAACAAAGGCTCCTTTGAACTTGTTTGTAAGCTCCCTATCACTTGTCTCAGGCATTGCTTACGCTTTTTGTGAGAGAAGGCGAGGGATATTAGGAGCTCGAGGCGCTTTATCGAGCTGCCAAATCTGGCGAGTTTGCGGATCATGTGAACACATATGTCACTAAGGCTTGTGCTGCTAATGTGAGCATAAGGTGGTGTTTATGTAGGCAACCTGAGAGCGAGACGTTATGGCTAGAAGCATATAGCAGGAAGGTGTTAACTTTTGCGGTGGCACTAACGTGCCACCGCACACTAATGTGCCTTAGGCAGTGGGTGTGTGGTCTTGTATTAGGTAGCTCGACTCAGTATTTAGAAAGAGTTGTTTGACCATGGAAAATTTTTTTCTCATTCAAAGCGCTAACCACCCCTTGTATAAGAAAAATTTATACGAACAAATAATTTTAGTCTGTCATGTTCACTGCTACGATGTCACTTGCTATCGAGCGATTAGCTCGTGCTTATTTATGGCGTCCTGCGGTGGTTCACATCTGATCCGCTGGACGACCAACTGAAAGAGCGGAACAGGCAAGATTTGTTTATTTTTATCGTCAATTTTTGGTATGTGAGTTTTGCAGATATCTGCGATAGATTAGCTGGGTACTGTATCTCTGTTTTAGATCGTTTACATGATAACAGAGGACAAAAAGGAGAAGAAGCTGGTTGAAGTGTTGGAACAACACTTCGATCCTCCAATCAATATTTTTGTCAATCAAAAGAAGGTAGAATAATAATCTTCCTTGATAGATCTCTCTCGTGGACATAGCACACGGGTAGAAGTTCACCTGAAAAAAAAAATTTTTTTTTGTAAGTAACGAAGTTAGAAAGGACAGACCCTCTCACTCCGTTACCAAAGTCGCTTTTTTGGGAGTCACAGTCAATCACTGCGTAAGGTACTACTTTGACATTCCTTGCGTGCAGCGCGCGCTTGTTGATGGCCAGCAGTGCGGTCAGAGGTGAGGTAACGTAGCGGCCCGCGCGCCATGAATCCTTGGCGTACGGCTCACGCCCACTATATCTCACTGTCCGGCCCCGCGCACATGCAATTCTCACACGCTATAAGCGTAATGGGGACCTGCATGAGGTACGACGCTGTGATTAGGCTGCTCCGTCAGTGGATTTGCCTTGTCAGTTCTTGGTATTTGTAATTGCAGGAACATTGATGTCTGTTTCTACACAGGTTACCCCTCGATAGCGTCCCGGATCGGCACTGATTTTGATTTGAATTCATATTCAAATTTTCGAATTTTCTAAATTTTGGTTTTAACTTTTTGGAGTATGAAGTTGAGGATGCGCACAACATGAGAGAAGAGAAATGAAATTTTCGTGAAGGACTTATTCTTCGGTAGTTTGCGGTCGGAGCGCTGTTCATACCGTGCAGGCCATTCGCGCAGTGGCGTGCGCATTCATCGCTCGGTTCGCGCGCATTATAAAGCGCTACACGAGGAGCGCGCGCGCCGCACGCTTCAATGTCAGAGTAGGCGATAATGGGTTTAGTCTGTGTATTTGGTAACGGAGAAGACAGGAGTTTGTTACGTCGTGTCCATCATCTCGCCGTATGATGTTTGTCGCGATAGTTTCGTCGAAACGTATGACAAGTGGACTTCTTTCCTCCATAGGTGTTGTATGGGCGTCTTTTTCTTTAATTCACTTGTTCTTTCTTTGAACTTCCGCTTGATCCGTGTCCTGGATTCCACTACCCTTTCCCCGTTCAACTCAGCCTCTCGGAGAGCATTCAAATGTAAAGTAGCCATCTTTACATAAAGGGGGTAAGTCGTTCGTGGTCTAAAAATTCCTAAGTGTAGTTGGTTGTGGCCATTTTCTAAACACTCATATGGCAAAACTTACAAGAAAAGCTCTTTTGGACAGTAAAGTCTGTCAACAGAATTCTTTGTCTCACACTGGCTTGTGTCACCATAGGGGCTCGCGATCATGATATCATTTTGAAAAGTTGATTGGAGCACTATCTCTTTTAGTTTTTCGTGAGCTACACTTCCAGTGGAGATTGTTCGTTTCCCTCTCTCTTCATTCGGAGCTATCGGCTTGTGCAAGCACTTTTTTACTGGTCCCGTATTGCTATCCTGCAGATTATACCACCTAAAGTTTGTGTAAATTCGACAACAAGTTTACCTCCGTCCACTCATGAACATCGGCAACATGTTTCAAACAGCTGTTGAAAACATGCTTTATGCGGTCGCCACTTCCAGCTTCTGCTCCTTCTTTTATGGCAATGTATAGATGGGTCTTCAGATCATCCGCCCAGTCTCGTATACTCTCGCATTGACTCCGCATGGATGCCTACATCTCGTTTAAGTTATTTAGAGGAAAGATGCCACTAGGAGTTCAGTTCATACCGCCCTGAGTTGCTTCTCGAGTCGCCTAGCCAGATGCCAGGGATCCAAGTACCACCTTACGTTCTCACCAAATTCTGTGTTATAGTCCCCTATCTCCTTTTGGTACATAAGGTTACGGTCAGTTGACACTGAACGTATGGGAATACGTTGAGACCGGAACCATCGCAACATATTGTGGAACCCCAATTTTTCCATCAGTCCGCTCTTCCCACCTGTAATATAAATCCGATAAAGCTATCTTTCTCAGTCAGCCTGGTTATAACCTGTTTGACGGCGCTCCACTACTTCAGTGTGAATGCAGAGTTTTGTCTTCATGTCTACAGCCAAAACTTTGCAGAACTCTGCACTGAATCCCCTGGAGTCGTATGCTCCGTCTACCGCGATATCCCACGGTGTGGGCTCCCCTTCGCGCTGAAATAGCTTGGATTCAGGTCAGTACCGTGTGCGATGGTTCTTCACCTCGTATGCGGCTTTTATGCGCTGTAAAGTACTGTCCTGATGTTTCTGATAGACGGTGTTTATCGAGGGGCGCATTTCATAAAAAATTCGATTGAAGGTCGACTGGGAAGGAAGAGCTAGTCCAAACTCTCCCGCCCATTGTATGAGCTTCTGCAAGAATTTTTACCCTTTTTGCCAGAACACGTATGGAATGGTCATTACATTCATCCTGACACCGGTGGTGACCGCAGCAGTACATGTCAGGATGTTTCCAACGAACTGCTTGTCGTTTTTGCGAGCGCTCAGCTTATCTTGTCCTTCCCATCTCTTCTTTTCCGGTCTGGGACCTTCTGTCACGTAAACAATGATGGGACAGGAAGCCTTCCTCGTCAAGCGCATTCTTTTCGCGTTATTCTCAGAGCCAGACATGTTGATTTGAAGCAGCTCAAGAAGCTTTTTCCCTTGAACAAGGAAATAAGCGTCTAGTAAATGCGGGTCCGTCTCCTTCAGTAGAAGCTGGTCTTCTTCTTCATCATCTTCACTATCTGAACTCTCATCCCTTCCTGGTGAATACAAGGAACCAGTCTGAATATGAAATAAATGGAAGCTAAAGCTTATACGAATAAGGAATGGTTTTGTTTCGTTCTCAAACCGTGGCCTTGGAGGATGTTGAATCTCCTTTTTTAAGCAGCGGTGTGTTGAACGGGGACTGTTCTACATTCTCATGAGCGCGACCGGGAGTTGGCGGTTCCACTGCCTCCTCCTGGGGCTCCTCCATGATTGCCTGAATGCAGCAGTCATGGCGTCTTTTCTAAAACGCTGACTACCTCTAGTTCGGCCACCGCCTCTTGGTGAGATGGTGGGACAGTCCAGTAGCCCTTGCTGTTGAAGAATCTCTTCATGTAGAAGTTGAGGTAGTTGTTAACTTCTACGCTGCTCACCACGATATCATCCTGATAGAGGTTTTTCCGTCGAAAAAAGAAGCCATTTACAAGAGTAAAACTGACTGCAAAAAAGGTGATTGCAGTATTTAGACTGTGAAGCAGTTCCGCTGGTATTTCTTGCGCGTCGAGGTAGTATGTTCCATCCCTTCTACGGCACAATCGTCCTCCATTCAAAGTTGTTTCCGACAACAGAGATTGTGCCTAAGTGTGAATTTTTGGCTTTTTGAGTACACCTGAATACAACTTACAGTATTTATGAAATGAGTAACGCATAGGAACTTCTGTGTTTGTTTAAAGCTGGCAAAATATAGCTGCAGTAATTCCTGTGCGACGGATGAAAACATCCTCAAACTCGCTAAGAAAATAGCGTTGTGCGCTTGATTTTTAGAAGAGCGCGTGGTCAGACTCTGCTCCACTCTGTTACCGCAGATAAAGCAATTGTAGTATTTGAACATGGTTGCGAATATTGCGTCTGAAAAATTCTTGATGAGAAAACTGTAGTGGGTTTTACAGGTAATGAACAGGATATGTACTGTTTTCCTTCACAAATCGACGATTTAATAAATTTTTTATTGAAGGTAGATGAGTTTTATAACAACATCGGAATGATGCTTCGTCTAGCTTCCCAAAATCTCGCCTTCTGAGTGAGTTGTCGCATGCGTCGTTGAGAGGCGTTTGAAGGAATTCTGAAAAAAATAATTAGAATTAGGAAAAATGTGAACAATAACAAAAATAATTAAAAACAAAAAAATAGATTTAAAAATAAAATAGAAAATGAAAAACAACAAATTAAAAATTCAAAATAAATGAAAAAATAATAATAAAAAATAAATTGATTTCTTAATAATAATTCTTAATAATCTTCATTTCTCTACTTAGGTTGCAAATAATCAATAAATCGATAGAAGGACCCACTGAATCGTCGCAAAAAGTAGCCTATCTTCTGCGCCTGGCCTCATTTAAAGGGGAGCAAATTTCAGCCTCATCGGTTCACAAACAAAGGAGTCTATAAGCCACATACTTACATACTAACAAATTTACAGAGATTGAGTTTTATTCATACATAGATTTCCTTTGCGTTTTTCAAATTTATTTTTTTTTATTTATTTACTTTTTACTGTTCATTTTTGCTGATTTCAAAAACGCTTTTTCTTTTCGGGCTTTCTTCAAAAGTCTCAACGACGTTTTGGACACTAATTAAGGAACTAGAACTGTGGAAAACAAGGCGAAGACTCATCATTTCGATGGTGTGATAAAACTCATGTAAATTTCGATAAAAGTTCATCAAATGTAGGTTTGTGAAGGAAAGCAGTATGGATTCTGTTTATTACCTGTAAAAGCTAATATAATTTTCTCACCAAGATTTTCAGACGTGACCTCGCAAGTACGATCAAATATTACAACTGCTTTATCTGCGGTAATAGAGTTGAACAGTGTCTCACCACTGCCCTTACAAAAATCAAGCGTACAACGCTATTTTTCCAGCGAGTTTGAGGATGTTACACATTAAACACTGGAGCTATATTTTGCTAGCTTCAGACAAACCAAAAAGTTCCTATGCGTTACTCATCTCATTTCATAAATACTGTAAGTTGTATTCAGGTGTACTCAAAAAACCAAACATTTACACTTAGGCACATCTCTGTTGTCAGAAATAACTTTGAATGGTGGACGATTGTGCCGTAGAAAGGATGGAACATCGACGAGCAAGAAATACCAGCAGAACTGCTTTTCAATCTAAGTAGTGCAATCAGCTTTTTTGCAGCCAGTTTTACTCTTGTAAATGGCTTTTTCTTCGAGGGAAAAGACCAGGATGATATCGTGGTGGGCAGCGTAGAAGTCAACAACTACCTCAGCTTTTACAGGAAGAGAATCTTCAATAGCTACAAGGGCTACTGGACTGTGCCCCATCTCACAAAGAGGCGATGGCAGAACTAGAGGTATTCAGCTTTTTCGGAAAATGTCCTGACCTGCATTCAGGTAATCATGAAGGAGCCCTCGGAGGAGGCAGTGGAACCGCCAACTCCTGCTCGCGCTCATGAGAATGTAGAACAGTCTCTTCAACACAATGCTGCTCAAAAAAGAAGATTCAACATCCTCTAAGGTGACGGTTTGAGAACAAAACAAAACCACTGCTTATTCGTATAAGTTTTATTTCGATTTATTTCATATTCATACCGGTTCCTTGTATTCACCACTGGAAAGGGATGCAAGCTCAGATAGTGAAGATGATGAAAAAGATGACCAGCCTCCACTGAAAGAGACACCCCGCATCTCAAATGCATATTTCCTCGTTCGAAGGAAAAAGTTTTTGATTTTCTTTAAGTCAACATGCCTTGCGCTGATAACAGCGCAAAAAGCATGCGCTTTATAAGAAAGGCTTCTTGTCCCATCATTATTTATGTGACAGACGGTCCCAAGCCTGAAAGGAAGAGATGGGAAGGACAAGATAAGTTAAAAATCGCAAAACGACAAGCAGTTCGTTGACTGCTGCGGTTACCACAGGCGTCAGAACGAATGTATAATCATACCATAAGATTCTGGCAAAAAAGTACAAATTCTTGCAAAAATTCATACAATGGGCAAGAGAGTTTGGGCTAGCTATTCCTTCCCAGTCAACGTTCAATCGGATTTTTGACAAATACGCCCTTCGATAAACACCGTCTATTAGAGATATTAAGATAATACCTTACAGCGCATAAAAGCCGCATACGAGGTAAAGAATCATGACGGATATTTACCTGAATCCAAAATGCTTTTTTAGCGCGAAGGGGAGCACACACCGTGGTTTATCGCGGTGGACTGTGCATACGACTCCAAGGAATTTAGTGCAGAGTTTTGCAAAGTTTTGGTTGTAGATATTGAGGACGAAACTCTGCATTTACACTGAAGTAGTGGAGCGCATCAAACAGGTTATAATCGGACTGATTATAAACAATAGCTTTCTCAGATTTCATGTTATAAGTGGCAAGAGCGGATTTGATGGAATTGGGATTCCACAATATGTTGCGATGGTTCCGGTCTCAACGTATTCCCATACTTTCAGTGTCAACTGACGTAGGTATCAAAAGGAGGTAGGGGAGACGATACGGAATCTGGGAAGAACTAAGGTGGTACCTGGACCCTTGGCATCTGGCTAGGCGACTCGAAAAGCAACTCAGAAAGGTACGAACTGAACACCTAGTGCCATCTAATCTCTAGATAACTTAGATAAGATGTAGGCATCCATGCGGATTCAATGTGAATGTATAAGCGACTGGGCGGATGATTGAACACGCATTCATACACTACTATATAAGAAGGAGCAGAAGGTGGAAGTGGCGACAACATTAAGCATGTTTTCAGCAGCTGCTTAAAGCATGTTGCCGATGTTCATGAGCGGAAGGCGATAAATTAGTTGTAGACTTTACACAAACTTTAGGCAGTATAGCGTGCAGGATAGCCATACGGGACCAGTAAGAAAGTGCTTGCTCAAGCCGATAGCTCCGAATGAAGAGAGTGGAAAACGGACAATCTCCACTGGAAGTGCCGCTTACAAAAAGTTGAAAGAGATAGTGCTCCAATCGACTTTTCAGAATGATATCATGATTGCAAGCCAGTGTGTGACTAATAACTTCGTCGACAGACTCTACTGTCCAAAGGAGCTATTCTTACAAGTATTGCTACATAATTGTCTAGAAACTGACCAAAACAAACGGTTCTCAGAATTTTTCAAATTACGAACTTATCTCCTCTACGTAAACATGGCTAGGAGGGCGTTCAGGCTACTTTACACCTGCACGCCCTCAGAGATGTGAACTTCGACGGAGAAAGGGTGGAGGAGTCCAGGATACTGATCAAGAGGAAGTTTGAAGAGAGAACAAGTGAATTAAAAAAAGACGTTTCTCCAGCACATATAGAGGAAAGAAAAACAAATGACATAGTTATTGTATTATTATTGTAACTATTATAGTTATTGTATTATTGAAGTTATTGTAACTCCAACGGCTGCTGCCGCTCGCTATCCAGTTGGATACTGCTCCCGGCCAAAGCGGCATCGTGTAGATGATGTCTGAGAGTTTTTATTGTACTTCACCGAACTCTTCCTCATTTTATCTTATTCCAATTCTAACATTTCGTTCCTTTGTATTTGGCTACAATTCTAATCAATATTTCTCTTGCTTTATCTCTCTATCTCTTACAATTGTTGTGCTTTGAATATAAGTGAAATCTCAAAGTATTTTGTCATTTGCTGAAGTTGTGAAATAATCATATCAGGTGAAGTATAACAACACATCGGTTGGACAAAGTATAAATATTTACTTTACCATAATCAGATCAGAGTACGCTGACATAGGCAAACACGGTATGTTCGACATTGATTCTACAATGACACAATTAATAACAATGACATAAGATCTACAGAACCCTGTTTCTGGCAGGGGTTGTGAGCAAAGTAGGCAATCAAAGAATCCTTTGTTGATTGTGCCTTCTCATGGTAAAGTAATTTAGTCTAGCAGCGCTTTCAGGAATGTTGGATATAGTGAATTGCTCATATGAAACTCTAAAGATCCACATCAGAATCTCACGTGAAATAGGTCCCGGGCAAGCTTCGCGTGATTTCAGTAGAGACGCGATTTGGAAACGCGACATTTGCTCAAAAAATGGGGGCATAGTATCAGTACTCGAAAGTTAACGCTGCGCAATTAGTCAGTTTGGGTTGAATCGCGTGTAGTATGCCTGGAGCCACGTTTCTAATAAGAGGAATATTAACATTTTTAGTTAATGCCCCTCTCTTCCACTTTTGTACATATCAAAATCGAGTAAAGTGAAGGATGATACTACTCACCTTTTCTTTCTTCCAAAATGAAAATAGTCGAAAGCATCCCATCATTGCTTTTTGACGGTATTACCAGAAAGGCATAATTACAGACATGAACTTATGTCATTTGTTTTTTATGGACAACATACCGTTGTCGCGAGCCTCTCGGGCTGAATAATCCTTTCAGGGCGGGCCTTTGCGCAGTTGTGTATATACTTCTAAGTGTACCACGTTCATCTGGAAAGTATATATATGACCTTTTTAAAAAATGCTTTTGTCACAATAACGAAAAAATCACCTATGATTTTGACTGGTCCACGAACTCGTACGCTGGCTGCTCCTGTGCGATAGTTCTCCTTATCATAGCTTGAGTCACAACCAAAGCTACCCTGCATGCATGCTACGTGCAAAAGGTTTTTGTGCCGCTCTGTGTGGAGTGGAGCTTGTAGGTGTTGGAGAGTTGTAAGACAATTTGTGCCGAGGAGATCTTCCAGTGCAAACAGATGGAGTGTTGAATATTACATTCATATATGAGGTTTTCTGAACAACAAATGATGACATAAAGAAGCAGAATCGGTAACTGCGTAATTGGACCAACTTCAGCTGCTCTGTTGGTTGTTCTTTGTTGACCTCTCCCACCACCACGTTCTCGCTCATTATGTCGCCACATCGCATCAAAACGCTCACTGATGATGCTTCCAGATCGGAAACTTTGCGGGGATAGATAGACATCAGGACTATCGTCAAGATCCGAGAGATCAAGATTATGTTCAAGAGAAGCGTGGATTGTTGGAGATGCAGTTACACGTGATTCACCCTAAAGAAAGGTCTAAATTATATATATCTTTCGAAAGGAAACCAGAAAAGTAACGTAGTACACATATGACTGTTGCACATGAATCAAATAGATAATTTATAAGGAAAAATGAATCCAAAGTCTCATTGCTTTGCTACACATCTAGAACTAACCGTTTTCGGTCTGAGAGGGGGCAGTGCTATTTTCTTCTTACGTCCCTTCTGCTGTAGTAGCAGATAGTAAGTCGCGGTGAGGTAGTCAAACTTCCATTCCTAAATCATATTTTACTCCCCTCAAACCGAACCAAAAGACTTCAGAACACTGCATGCCGTCTGCGTGACAAGATGGAACTTGTGCTTCAAACTATTTAGATGCTTTGTTACTTGTCTAGTTAGTTGAAAAGATCAAAATGAGCTTGCTAGATATACGTGCGATCTAAAGACTCCGAAAGGACTCATCAGACTCGCAGAGAGCGCTGAAAAGCCCCCATAAACAAGCAGCGCTGAAACGCCTCTTTCAAGTGCAACGCGTTAGAGCTAATCACATATCTATTTCAACACCGAAACTAACTATCAAAAAGGTGCTGTCGGAAAACGCTCCACGCGAACGGGGAGCGTTTTCTGGGGCCTTTAGACGAAGTCTGACGTTCAGCTGCAGTGGTACTTTGTAGAGTACGAATAAAGCAAACGGTTAAAAAGAAACATTGATACCATAAACAACCTTGATCAGATCGGTCATCTCTGCGAGAGATTTTCTGTGATGAAAGGCTAATTCAGTGGCAACTTCTTCGTCAACTACGTTCCTCTGAAAAAAAAGACACATTTAGCATATCATGGTATATCATTTGTTTACATCATAAATGCTAGTCCACTTTAGCTTTTGACTGTACTTGTGGTTGATCCATGGATGGTCAAGTAGCTGTTTGACGGTGATACGATAACGAGGGCTGACCTAAAGCCATAGAAGCACAGTAGTGGCCATATTCACCAAAGAACCCAGTGGGTTGGGTTAACCCACGACATCGGTATTCATGTAGTGGGTTCGCGAAATCAGCAGTGCTCTTTGTGAATATCGTCCAACCCAGTGGCACTGTTTCCGCTTACTGAGTAGCGAAACCCAGTGGTTCGTTGATGAATACCGCCGCAGGAAGTCAATAGAGAGTTTTGGTTACCTGCAACATACTTCGAAGTAACGTGCGACTGCTAGGACTGAGCCACTTTGGCTCCTGGTATTGTCCTCTCTAAGAAAGTGAAGATAAAGAGTTCGCAAATACATGGGGACTAATGACGTGGGTGAAGATAGTCAAGTGACAACGCGAAGATGTTGGTCATACCGCAAATCTAATTGTTGCATTTTCCAGCTCATCAGTGGACTAGTAATTCTAGATTACTTATTCATTTCCAACTTACGGAAATCTTCCGGTGTAGAACTTGCATTGACTCGTCTTCGAAAGGTAGAGTTCCACATAGAAGAGCATAAAGTAGGACGCCCATAGACCAATTACCAGCTTCATTGCCGAGATACTCCTTTCCCTACAAAACACATACTTCAGCCACAAACTACAGAAAGTAATCTCGTAAAGGTAGCATGCTATAAGTCTTGAGAGATTGCAGAGTGGAGCAATACATGTAGAGGAATTCCACCTTCTCAAATTACTCTGGATACAGAATATTCATAGAAATATTAGGAAAAGAATGTTGTGTGAATGATACTAACATGAATCTTTATTTTTGGACAAAGTGCAAGATATGGTGCGCGACAGAGTTTCTCAAATGATTGGTCGGAGCGAAAAAAACATCGAACAAATTTAACTTTTCTCAAGAGATAGTAACTCAGCAAATTGGAAGATAATTCTTACAGCTATCACCTTGGGAGCGGCATAGGCAGGCGAGCCACAACGTGTATCCAGAGGTCGACAAAGCGAAGATGCCATAGCACATAACCCAAAGTCTATGACCTTTAGGTGGAGGTCCTCCGTCAAAAGTAAGTTCAGCCTAAGGTAAACTGTACAAATAAACACTCAAAATATAGTGAGAAACATACAGGCTTCAGATCCCTATGTGCATAACCCATGGAGTGGACATAAGCCATAGCTTGGACTAGTTGACGGAAAAAGTGACGAGCTTCTGATTCTTCAAGTCGCTCCTTCCTTACAATATAATCGAACATTTCACCTCCACTACAGTACTGAAACCGCGAATGGAGAAGTCGGTTCAAAAATAACCGTGCCTACAAAACTATAACTAGAGAAAGAGAAACAGACCTCCATTATGATATAATATTTATCTTCCGTCTCAATAAACTGATATAGCCGACAAATATTCTGATGCGACAAAGTCCTAAGTGCGTCAAGTTCTGTCGCAACTCGTGGAAGATCATCCTGTGTGTATGAAGCCAAAAATTTGAAAGAGAAAAAGACATGTGAGACTTACCCCTATAGCCTTCTTGTTGATGATTCTTATGGCAACTTTGAGGACGATCAACAAATGAGTAGCTAGTTTAACTTGGATAAAGCCTAAACGTGGCGCATTTAAATAAAATAACAAGAAAGTTATTAAAATTAACAAAGCAGTAAAATCACAATATGTGCTTATTCACTGCTAACGGAAGGTGAACTGTTTACTACGTATCTTCATCTGCAAACAGGATCTAAGAACTGTAAACATTGCTTCAATTTCAAAACTGAAATCTTCGACCAGCGTACTTGTGATGTTACATGGACAAGCTGAAGAGTTAGCGTTCAGTCGAACATCTGCAAAAAAGATACCAGTTTTCCCTCGACACCGAAAAAAACTACTCGTTTAATTTCAATGTTTTTGAAAGTATTGAGTACACAGAAAGCAGAAACGTAGGACTATGCAGAGAACTGAAAATAGAAAACAAGAATGTCAAAAAATCTGAAGAGTTAGCGTTCAGTCGAACATCTGCAAAAAAGATACCAGTTTTCCCTCGACACCGAAAAAAACTACTCGTTTAATTTCAATGTTTTTGAAAGTATTGAGTACACAGAAAGCAGAAACGTAGGACTATGCAGAGAACTGAAAATAAAAAACAAGAACGTCAAAAAATCCAAAAGTGCCCAAGATTCCTCCAAACAATGCGCCACACGACAGGCGGCGGGTCAACTCGTCCGACGCGAGCGAGACTGCCGCGCGCGAGCGGAATCAAGCGGGGTTTTCTCAACGGGGAGGCCACCGATTTGGCTGCTAATTGGGGAATTGCTTAGCTAGGCAGCCCGCTACTTTCATGTGTAGTTCTCCCAAAAACGGAGAATTTGCTGGCACACTGCCTTTAATGGAAGATGAGCTTTGGAGAGGTTGAAATATCGAACTGTGAATCTTAGAATATTTTGTGAGCAAGGACACCTTATCATTTAAAATCTTTGTTGGCTGTTTTTCAAAGAAAAAAGCTTCGATTTATCATTTCCAAAAACTGTTTGCGTCTTCGGTTTCCTTGCGCATTTAAGCTGGGAAACATGGCAATTTGGCGCAAATCACAAAGCCTTCATTTCGCATTATTGCTGACTTGAAGTGGTCAAAGTTCCAGGCCAAAACGAATGGACAAATTTTTAAAGCCCTAGAAAGCATTCGACTTTTACATATTTGTTCAGTCGCTTTATCCCAGTTGAGGTGTCGGACTGCTGTACTTACTACATTCATATTCATATGTCACAAAGCATCGAATAGGGCCTCAACTTGTGTTCAATGCGGCATAGCTCATCTACAGTCGAGTAGATTTTTCGCTTAATATAGTGTGCTTGCACTGTGGGTGAGATGCGGTAAATTTGCGCGCGTAGAACTAGCTACGTCGGTGACGCCTTCCAATCGCGCGCAGAATACCGGCATTACTGGCGTCGCTAATTATTTACGCGCAAATATTACCGCATTTTACCTACAGTGCGAGCACACTATATTGACACGTATACGACAACGCGAATTTTTAGTTGTCTACCTTGTGGGACAATGCCTTCCACGAATAAGTCGAAAAATTTGAGCTAAAATCATGCAGATCATGATCTACAGCATCCTATACAAATTCTTAAAAGCAGCCAAGAAACGTCAGGGTATCCTCTAAGATCAGGGCGTAAAAGACTTCTTGAAAGATTGTACCCAATAATTGTACCATTTTAACAAAATTTAAGCCATGACCCACCATATGGGTCACATTGTCCCACGTGGCAGTCATTGCATGACCCACCATGTGGGTCACGTTGTGATCAATGTGTTAAGCGGAAAATCTACCTGACTGTAACTGTATGTGATCGCAATTTTAGACGAAGAAAACAGCGCCTTAGTGTGTAAGACGTTCAAAATTAGGTTGCGGACGGCGCCGTGTTAAATGATGCTTCTATTAGGTTGGCTCGAAAGTTCTGGGACATTTTCGAACTAGATCTGCTATTTCTCGAAACTTAACGCATATGCATTAGGTAGAGGCACCATTCGATAGAGCAAAGCAAGCTCTACAAAATGGTTTGCAAAAGTTCGCACCAGCTTCGACCCACCGTAAGTTTGCACCCAAAATCTGAGTCGTGCTAAAATTCAAAAAATCGCGAAAAATTCATATCACTGTTCAAACAAATCCTACGGATCTCCAACTTGCTCACAAAAATTGCACACTACATCAAACACTCATACGCACCGTTGATGTGTTTTTTTCTCATCTAGAAATCGAGAAGATCAAAATTTTCTTGTTTTCACAAAAACGAAGCTATGCTGTTCCCACTCATGTAATTATATAGTACAAGCCCTTAGAAGTATAATCGTAATTTTTCAGCTTTCTACAGGCTCTAGTTCCCGAAAATTACCGAATTGAGCTCTCCTCACTTGGGCTTTCCATGCTAAATTCAATATTTTTCGACAACTAGGGCTTACGGAAAGCTGAAAAATTACGGTTATACTTCTAAGGGCTTGTACTATATGATTACATGAGTGGGAACAGCACAGCTTCGTTTTTGTAAAAACAAGAAAATTTTCATTTTCTTGATTTATAGATGAGGAAGAAACACAGCAACGGTGCATATGAGTGTTTGATGTAGTGTGCAATTTTTCTGAGCAAGTTGGAGATCCGTAGGATTTGTTTGAACAAAGATATGAATTTTTCGCGATTTTTTGAATTTTAGTACGACTCAGATTTTGGGTGCAAACTTACGGTGGGTCGAAGCTGGTGCAAACTTTTGCACACCAACTTGTAAAGCTTGCTTTGCTCTATCGAATGGTGCCTCCACCTAATGCATATGCGTTAAGTTTCGAGAAATAGCAGATCTAGTTCGAAAATGTCCCAGAACTTTCGAGCCAACCTAATAATTGAAGTTCGTTTTGTTAACAACAGCGCCCGCCCTCATTGCTCCTGATCAGAGCATCACAGATTTTTTCCATAACTAACAACCTTTGTCAAGTTCCTATCGTGAAATGCTCCCTAGCTCTTCCGCTCTTCAAAAGTGCTGCATGTCGCTGCTGTCAAATTCCATCTACAGCAGCGCAGTAAATCCAAGTCCACTCTGGTTGCTAGGAAAAACTGTTCAAGTTCTAACTTTTGAACTTTTGCGGCATGCAAAGTTTGTTATCAGCTTTATTCCGGCCTCACGTTTCAATGGGCTCGTCGTCCTCAGAGTTCCTCTCACCACCGCTGTATGCGATGTCCGCCGGAAGTAACCAGCGAACTCTGTCACGTAAGGGCGACACCATAACAAACCTTGTATGGCACGACAGAATTGAAAAGCTACAACAATGGCAAGGTTCAAAGAACATGGAACATGGAAATTATTCAAGTTCTATTTGTTAGTTCTATAAATGCCGAGAGTGAGCTCACCTTTTACCGCAGTTCGCAATGTAAGGTCAGAAAGCTTACCTTCGTCGCATTTGGTGACTGCTGGTGGAGCATGAAACAACATTCAATATCAAAGAGTGCGATTTGAGCAAAGCAGACTGTAAGATGCAGGTGACCCTTCAACCCGAATCTCCTCAGAAGTGCTCTTCTGATTATGTTGGCTGAAATATGTAGCAATAGAATTTCAAACTGAGCCATAACGTCATCATTCCATCTCCTTAGAGCTGTTCAGAACAGCATAGTAAACTATTAATAAAAGATAATTTGTATTTACTACACCTTTACTCCGTTTCGTTCCTTCCCTTAGACGAAGTTTGACTTGATTACTGGATCTTCCCCGGAACTCCTCTGTAAGGAAGGAAGATCCAGTATCAAGTAGAAAGTTTGTATTTAGAAAATTTTATTATGGTTAATTAGAATATATAAAATAGCATGACTTACTTCTTAATTTCGTGGTTTCCACTATAAAGCCGCTCCGAAAGTTGTAAATAGATAAATGAAATTACCAAATCATTGTATCAAGCTATTATTGTTTATATTGCTTATTATTAATTCATATTTTCATTTTTATAGACTTTGTGTTTTTTCGGTTGGATAACTGTAATCATTATGTATAATATCTGTTATACTTGTAATATCTCAGTTAAAAGTTCATTTTTTGTTTTTCGTACAATTTATATTCATATAAAATAAATTTATATCTATTTATGCATTTAAATATACTTGATGAGATAGTGTATGAATCATTTTGGTTAGTTAGAAGTGTTAATTTGAGTTGTGAAATTTTGTTGATGAAATCATGAGTAAACTACATGTACGTGCTATTCTTAATGTTTCAGTATATCTTGTAGCTTTTTTAATGTTATTAGCAATATTACAAGAGGAGTGTATGAATTGTTTTACAGAAAATTTGAAATCATCTGTTTTGTTGCATAGTTTGGTTACTATTTTATTATTTCTTATTTCTATGTGAAGATCTAAATAGTGACATTTATATTGATTTTCATGAGTTGATTCTATAGTAAGTGTATCTTTATAAACCTTTCCAATTATATTTTGTATAGCATGTTTTTCCATATTATGTTTAATTAATAAGTCATACATGTATCTATATGGAATAAATCGTTTGTCATTTGTAATATTATTTATTGAGTATATGTATTCTAGCCAGGAAAGTGCAAGATCTGCTAGAAGAGGGGTGAAGTTGCCTCCGTGAGGTACTCCCACTTTTTGTTTCAATATATATGTGATGAATTTACAAAAACTATTATCGATTATATTAGGTTGTCTCATAATTAATGCACGTTTTTATTTGCTTGCTTTAACAAAGCAAACAGACTCAACCCAACAAAGGGTAAGGGGTACTGTTCGATAGAGCAAAGCAACCTCTACAAGATGGCGCTCATGCCTTTGCGCCATGCTCGATCCACGGAGGGTTCGAACTCAAAATCTAAAGATTTCCAAATGCCCAAAAAATCGAAAAAAAATCAGATCTTCGTCCAAATAATTTCTACGGACCTCCCACTCGCTCACATCAATACTATCGATATCTGATATCCATATGTGCAATTGCCGTATTTTTTCCTTGACTAGAAACTGAGAAAACGAAAATTTTCGTGTTTTTCTAAAAGCAATGCTGAGCCGTTTTTGCATATGTAGTTCTATACTACAAGCCTAGGTAAGCATAACTGTAGGTTTTCAGCCTATTTCGAGCGGTACTTTCCGGGAAATGTCGATTTTAGCACTGAAACTGAAACGAAAAAATCCGAATTCGTTATTTTTCGAAAACTACCGCTTGGAATGGGCTGAAAATCTACAGCTATGCTTAACTAGGCTTGTAATATAGAACTACATATGCAAAAACGGCTCAGCATTGCATTGAGAAAATCAGGGAAATTTTCGTTTTCTCAGTATCTAGTCAAGGAAAAAATACGGCAATCGCACATATGGATATCAGGTATCGATAGTATTGATGTGAGCGAGTGGGAGGTCCGTAGAAATTATTTGGACGAAGATCTGATTTTTTTCGATTTTTTGGGCATTTGGAAATCTTCAGATTTTGATTTCGAACTTTCAGCGGATCGAGCGTGGCGCAAAGATATGGGTGCCATCTTGTAGAGCTTGCTTTGCTCTATTGAACAGTACCCCTTACCCTTTGTTGGGTTGAGTCTGGTTGCTTTGTTAAGGCAAGCAAATAAAAACGTGCATTAATTATGAGACAACCTAATATAATCTGTTAAGTAAAGTAAGTCTACAACGGAATAAAATTTTGTGTTTGGATTTATATTTATTGTGTTATCTGTATAATAGATTTTATTTTCTTTATGTATGATATATTTTTTACCAGCGTTTTTGAAGCATAATTTAAGTATTTCACCTATATTGATGTTGATTATATTGTGTGGTAAAGTGGTAAACATATTCGTAAAGTCTACTGAAAAGTTTTTATTATTCATGTTGATATTCGTAAGATTATCGCTGATATTAATGTTATTAGGTTGTAACAAAATTAATGCAGGTTTTGAATTCCAACCGCAATAAGTCATACATTTCTCATTTCTAAGTACAGGGTTGGCCATAATTATAGCGACAAGACTTACTGCAGTTAGCGTATTATTCTATCGCGCACATAGCGCGCCAGTTTTATCGATTTTTCAATCTCATCATTTTTTCTAACTCTTGTTAAAATTTGGTTAAATTTGGTCCATTTATAGTGAAACGGTGAAGCCTTCTCCTGACCGTTCCGCTATCCTTCGTCTGCACAAAGCCGGCCGCCCACCCGCCACGATCGTTATGTAAGCACCTCGGCATCCACCGCAGCGTTGTGTATCGCACACTCCAACGTTATCGAGACCTTGGTGGACTCCAAGACCGCCGAAGAAGTGGAAGACCTCGTACTGCTCGCACGCCGAAGGTCGTCGAGGGGCCGTCCGAAGGTCGTCCCGGCCGTCATTCGTCGACCCTGGCGTCAAAATCAATAAAGATTACTACCTGAAGACGATTTTGGAAGTGCTCTACTCCCGCGGGCGAATTCTCACTTCAACGGCCGCCCTTGGACATTCCAGCAAAATTCGGCGCCCGCCCACAAGGCCAAGGTCGTCCAAGCGTGGTGCAAGAGCGAACTACCCGACTTCATCCCAGCAGAAGAATGGCCGGCATCGTCACCGGATTTGAGCCCACTGGACTACATCTTGTGTACCTTGAAAGGTACCTACCTACCTTGAAAGCAAGGCCTGCGCCACTCTCCACCCCAATTTGGATTCTCTGAAGGCAGTGCTCATCCGAGAATGGGACGAGGCGAGGCACTCCTGCGTCCGGTCATCGATGCCTTTCCCAAGCGACTTCGCCTTGTCGTCCGTGCCAAAAATGCCCGAATCGAGAAGTAACTTATGATTGTTAATGTACTAGTTGTTGCTTAATAAATGTTATGTTCATGACTCGTTTGCACTTTTCCTTTCTGTGATATAAGGTGAAAACCTTGTCGCTATATTTATGGCCAACCCTGTAGGTTGCAAAATACCATTCCATAGAACAAAGCAAGCTCTACAAGATGGCTATCTTGTTTTAGCAACAGCTTTGAATCACCACGAGTTTCGAGCCAAAAACTAAAAAGATTCAACTGTCCGAAAAAATGAGAAAAATCGTAACTCACAAGGGAACCGTGTCGAGTCGAAGTGGCCTTTCCAGATGAGACCCACACTGCGTTGAAGAGCATTAATCGATGATATCATATCTGCTTTTTAAATCTGCCAAGCGCCTCTGGACGCCGAGATATGCTCGTTTTTCAGGCCATGAACTTGAACGCAAAACTGGAGCAAAATCCCAAATTTGCTCAAATGGTCCAGTGACAAGTATCAGAGCTGTTTATGCAATGTATACATTTTATTTAATATGCTAATACTTAACATTGCTTTATCTGAGCGCTGGAAAGATTGTAACAATCAATTTTACCTATTTCTGCATTCATTTTTCGTTCCGAAGAACGGTCATAACTCGGCGTCCAGAGGCGCTTGGCAGATTTGGAAGGCAGATTTGGAATCACCATTTAACACTTTTTAAAGCAGTATAAGTCTCATCTGGAAAGGCCACTTCGACTCGACACGGTTCCCTTGTCAGTTTTTTAAAAACCTACAAAAATTCTAACTTGCTCACTATACACTATTCGCATAAGACATCTATATACGCCTTTGCCGTATTTTTTCTCTGTTAGAAATCAAGTAAACGGAAATTTTCGTGCATTTGCCAAAGTGTTGCTGTGCCGTTCCCACATAAGTGATTGTATACTACAAATCTGTAGAAGTAAAAACGTAAAATTTCAGCTCTCTACAAGCTTTAGTTCTCGAGAAACTTGAATTTTAGCTTGGACCATCTGACTAGGGAAAACTGTATTCGATATAACTTGAGAATTAAAGATTGTAGGAAGCTGAAAATGTGCGTTAGTACTTCCATAGGTCTGTAGTATGCAACTACCTATGTGGAAGGGGCACAACATCACTTTGGCAAACGCACGAAAATTTCCGTTTTCTTGATTTCTAACAGAGAAAAAGATACGGCAAAGGCGTATATAGATGTCTTATGCGAATAGTGTTTACGTGAGCAAGTTAGAATTTTTTGTAGGTTTTTTATGAACTGAGTTACGATTTTTCTCAATTTTTCGGACAGTTGAATCTTTTTAGTTTTTGGCTCGAAACTCGTGGTGGATCAGAGCTGTTGCTAACAAGATTGCCACCTTGTAGAGCTTGCTTTGTTCTATCGAATGGTGTTTTGCAACCTACTTAGAAATGAGAAGTGTATGACTTATTGCAATTGGAATTCAAAAACCTGCATTAATTTTGTTACAACCTAATAGTTTTTGAAATGTGATTTAATAAATGTGAATATTTGTTTAGTTCTATCGCTAGAGGTTTGGCGCTACTATGTGTTGCACCTGTAATGAATCTGAATTTAGTAGGAGTTTTGTGTAGTTTTGGTAAACAATTTATTAATAGTATATTGTTGACATCTTGTGGTTGGAGTTTATTATCTGAACAGAAATTTTTATGTTTTTGAATTATATTGCTAATT